CAGGGTCATGATTGCTGACCACAATTCAGCACTTCCCAACCGCCCTTCACGCTGTACGCTCTAGACAGAGGTTAATGGGTATAGTGAGAACAATAAAACAAAAACAAAGCAAAAGACAAAAATCTCTGCTGGTCAAAGAAGTTTGGAGAACCACTATATCCTCTACTCCTTTCTTAATATGTACGTGAACATTCCTGAGTTTCTCAGAGTCTTACTGGTAAATGGAAAGCTCAATTAAATTTAATGGAATCAACTTTTTCAAGCTCTTTGTGTCCAATTTGGTTAATGATGAATTAAATAGTCAAGTTTCCCTTCCTGCACATTAGCCCTGTGTAAAAGAACAGGAATCTTTATTCCTTCTCATTCAACCTGTTTACCTTTTCTGCAGTTAACAATTCAAATCCAGATTGATTTAGGGTAGAGCAATACTAATTCTCTCGGAAATGTGCCCCCTTTTAAAATGAACATTAGCTCCATGTACCTATTGCACTTATCAGTTCCTGTCATAAACTGAAAAAGCAAACAGTAAACTAGCTTCCTTCTGGAGCTTTGAGGACTGTAAGAAGCCAACGTGAACACCTGTCAGGAAAGTAGGGCCAGTGGCTATGCCAAATGGGAGGTTTGGGGTTGGCGGGGCCCGGCCAGAAGAGGCTAACAGACAATGTTACTTTTTTTTTTAAGCTATTGCTGATAGCTAACATTTTATCAGTTTGTACAGTTTAAAAATCGCTCTCATGTGCAGGTTTCCTTTATCATATTTAATTATTCTTGAACAAGGAACACAGTTGAGGGAGATGATCAATGAAAGATGTTTAGGGGGAAAAGAGGGTCTGGGAAGAGAGCTAAAAAATAGTAGGAACAGTGATGTAAACCACGTGTTCACCCCTGCCAAGGACTGAAAACTGGTTTTAGGAGACCAAAAAGATTCAGACACTACAATGGTTCATGGTCTTCCAAAAAACTGTGATGCATAAAAAGATGGAAAAATTTACTTGTGCTATTAAAATTTTATGAGGGGTGATGCTTCAGGGAAAAAAATGTATCTAAAAAGGCTTTCTGAGAATGGTAGTAATGGGGAGGGGTAATGAAAGAAAGATGGAAGAACACGGGTCTAAATCCTGTGTGCCTAGAGCGCTTTCTGACATCTTCGCTTCCTTTGTTGTCAGGCCTGTTGGCTGTTTGTCTAGACTGAGCAGGAGTGACTGGTCCCAGGCAGCCTCATAGCAATTCTTATCCTTGTTCTTATTTCTATAATCTTGGCTTTGCCACTTTTCTTTTGAGATGGCTAACAAAAGGGCAGGCACCAAATGACATCTCATCAGCCAGCACATTTGAGATAGTGGCACAAATGAATGAGATGAAACTTGTTTGACTTGGGTCGAAGATGTCCCCTAAAATAGGGGCTTTGGGAAGGTATTTGAATCAGAGGCATGAAACACTCATCAGTGGATGGATCTGTGGATGCATTTAAAGCAGCATATGCTGTGAGGAGGTGGGAGAAAGTTGGAGAATGTCAGTCACGGGGGGCATATCCCTCTCTTTGGTTGGCTTCTCTCTCTCTCTGCTTCCTGGCTTCCATGATTGGGCGACTTTCCTCCACTGTGCCCCTCTGCCATGGAACTAGGAGAACAAAACTGTAATCTCCGAAATCATGACCCAAATAATTCCTTCCAAATAAGTTGCAATGTCAGTAGTGTTAAAGCTGACTAATTTCTTATAAATCTACTTGGTCATCAACTCTTTATCCCTGGACAGTATAGAACAGGGTTTCCTAACCTTTGCACTATTATATCAAACTATATAATTTTTATTGTTCTGTGTAACTGTAAGACATTAAGCAGTAACCTGGGTCCCTATTAACTAGATTCTAGCAGCAGCCACTCCTTTCGTGATAATAATAAAGATGTCCAGATAAAATATATACAATTATTATGTGGCTATTAAAAATAAGATACTAAGAAGAAGTCTGCAGATATTGCCGGATACTCCTTGGAGGGCATAGTTGCTTCTAGTTGAAAGCAGTAATGTAGAGAATCCAGAGGATCAGAAAGTACTATATCAGTTTCTCTAACATATTAGTATGATCAGAAATGCCACAAAGTGTTCAAGATCTTATTTTAAGTAAGATCCCAGTAAGTGTACAGTGTTGTCAGCAGTGGTGAGAGACAGCAGTGTTACCATGACACTCACATCCAGTGCTTAGTGAGTGCTTGCTGAGAACATTCCATACCTGAATGGTATGGAATCTTCCTTGTTCATCTTCCTAACAACTCCAAGGGAGCAGTGCTGATATTTTTCTACCCACCCTGTCTTTGAGACACTGAGACATGGAGATGCTGAGGAACTTGCCTGTGGTTATACCACTCATAGCAGAGTCCTCCAGGGAGCTCCAGTGACAAGGGCTCATAAATGTATCTGTGTCCTATAGTCCTTCCTGTAATGTCTGTACTTTAGTATCCTTCATGAGGCCAGTAGAGTACTGAGCAAAAATGGCTTCTCATTAAACCTGATTATTATCCATATAATCATTGGTGATCACTGGGATGCTGTGCTGCCAGATCTGGGCATAGCATGCTTTTCCTGTGTCAAGAGATTGCTGCTCAAGCATCCCTCTCTCAGTGAAGATGTCTTTTTCACCTTCACTCCATAGCCCCTCCCCCTGCTTTAGTCTTCCGCAGAGTACTTAGCTTCTGACACGCTTTTGTTTACTGTTTGCTCCCCTGTGCCCCGACAGACAGAAATGTCTCTGGTATGGAAGCGAGGGTTCCTGCCCTGCTGTGGTGGCTGCTGCATCCACAACAGATAGAATACCCTTTGGCGTTAGGCCGGTGCCCACTAAGGGTGTGGAATGCATCAAGACAACACGTTAGCTGCATGCTATGTCTGGAGTCGTGTTATTGGTGCCTACTTTTTTTCAGGACTGTGCTTAAACAGTCTTTCTCTAATGACCAGAGATGTTCATGCAGTATAGGATGCTGGTCCTATACATAAAAGAGCCAGCTTATTGAGGGTTCCTGATCAATGCCTGTTGGAGGTTGGTAACTGGCCAGTGTCATTTGTACATGTCCATTTTGAAATTTTTGTTTTGTTGATCTGTAGATTCAGTAAATTTCATGAAAATATCTAGAGCCAATGAGAATAATTTATGTTTAGGCTTGGGTTAAATCACATAATAAATCATAAGCTATTTTTAAAAATATTGCATGACAATACAAGGGCACATTTTGTGCAAAAACTATCAGAAGTAGATTCTGCCTTTGCAGAACTTTCTGAAATCACTATTCATAAGTTGAAAAAGAATATGGATTTAATTTTAATGTATTAAAAGCTTAGCTATTGAATTCATTACATGAAAAATGAAGCCACATAGTAATTATAGATGGAAATACTATTAAATTACAGTCAAGGTCCCTTTGTTTCAAAACCATGTTTTTCTCACTCCCTACAAAATTATTTTGAAAATTTGGGGCCTGACAAACTTCAGGGCTTAGGACAGAAGCCCGGTTTGGAGTTTTGTAGACATGGATTGTTGACCTGCAATCAACCATTTCAGGACATTGTGTTTATATTATAGAGAAAGCTCATTTCCTAAACCCTGAAAATTGGCTCTGGGAAGGTTAGATCTGATTCATTCCTCATCTTGGATTATACTCATTCTTAGGGCTTGTGGAACTAAATAAACTAAGGAGGCAGAGAAATGCTTCTGGATTTCTGGCGTGGGGATAGAACAAATGAACAACATTAGAGGATGCATACCAGAATATTGTCCTGTGTGCTCGTCACCAGTTTTCAGTTCCACGAACTCCCCTGTGCCACCACTGGCTGTGCTGCCCCGCTCGCGACTGAATTCCAGTGCCAACACCTGACTGTTGTCAGTGAGAGACCGTTCCATTGTTGACTCCAGTCTCATTCAACACTGAGTCAGGTTTTAACAGAGGTTTTATAGCACAATTTTATACAACAGTAAAATAAAAAATGCCACAACTGTATTATTGTACTGCATATAATATATTCTCTCACCTTTTGGTGTGGGAATAGAGGCTGCCTACAAATAAAAATGAATTTAGACTAGAGCTGTCCAATAGAACTCTTGCAGTGGTGGAAATGATCTATATTTCTCATTTTACACAGTTGGCAATTGAGTACCTGATATGTGGCTATGAGAGTGAGGAACTGAATTTCTAATTTTAATAAATTTAAAGCTAAACAACAAATGGTGGTTAGTAGCTACTTCCTTGGAGAGCACAGAAAGACCATCCTTCAAGAGTAAAGCTCCTAGACAGCAAGCCTCCCTGTACATCTGAGACTTGAAATACAGGAAATTTAAGGCTGTGCTAAAGTGGATCTTTGTGTTTTGTCTTTTTGAGACAGGGTCTCACTATGCAATTCAGGCTGGTCTTGAACTCACTTCACAGCCCAGGCTGCCTTAAATTCACACAATGATCCTCTTGTCTCAGCCTCATGTGTGCTGGGATTACACGCATGCACCACCACACCTGGCTAAATAGATCTTGAATAATATCCTGAGGCTTCCATCTGGCTGGTCTCTGCTTGTTGCAGGAAGTCAGATCCTTTAGGAGGAATAGCAAACAACTTTGTACTTTGTACTCTGCATCACAAGAAAGTTGCTAATGCAACTTGCCTCAGAAGGTGGATGTTGAGAGGGAAAATCAGAGATGGTGACTATTATGGTCTGTTCCCTCTCTGGCCTGCTTCTGTCTGTTCACAGCATCATCTGCTGTGATCTTATGTTGAACCTTAGGGAAAATGTATTGTTACACTGCTTTGGAAGTTTTGCAGAGATAGGCATTTGCCTAGGCATTCCTACACCCTCAAGGAATTTCTATAGTGGCCAAGTCCAGATATGAGAACAAATTTGCTCCTTTAAAATTACTATAAATTAACTTCCACCAACCCAGCTAGGATGATTCTGATCTGACATCCAGGAAATTTTATGAAGCGAGAAGCACCACAAGGGGGAAACAAAAGGAAAAACGAAATGACAGAGTCTCTCAGGTTTAATATAAAGCAAAACATTAAAAAAGAGGTGAGGCTCAGAGGCCTATAAAGTTCCCGACACATACACTCTTCTATCATATTTTTAATGACCGGAGGACAGGGTGATAACAGGAGTAAAGGAGGTGGTAGCAGGTGATGGCAGGCACATGTACTCGGCATGTGCTGACAGTCACCTCACTTGGAGGATGACGGTGCTGGTTCCCAGTGCAGGGTGTCCAGTTCCAGGTTGGCAGCATGAAGAGCACCTAAAATCCCTGCCCCACGCTGGGAGACTCCAGCTGCAACAGATTTGAGGCAAGGCCTAGCAATGTGCATGTGACCCATCAGATTCTGGTGCACAGAGAGATCTGGGCATCTGTAGAGCCTGGGAGGAAGGACTTCTTACTAGGGGAGGTGGATATTGGAACCATGTGATGATAAGTACTAGAAAGGGGTCTTCTGGCTTAGGGATTAGAGTAAAAGTATTATTTCTCTAGCCCCTCAGGTGATGCATGTGGTACATGCAACTTAGGACTCACACAAAAAAGGACTTAGTTGGTGGTTGTCTACTTTCTGCCCAGTGTAAGTGGATATATAGACTTAGTACATCATCTGACACCAAACACTTTCACTTATATATGATAGATAATAGCAAAAATATAAAAATCTGTTTATAGATGATATGCTTTTACATTAGGGTCCCACAAAATGAGATAATTAGTAATTAGAAGGCATATGAGGGCATACTCTAAACAGAATCTTATTTTGAAGTTGTAGTAATAATGGGTAGCAGTTTCACCAGTCAAAGTCTATGTGTGATACGAAAACACCAGGGGAAATGACATCCAGATAGAGTTCAGCCATTTCTTGGGTTTAAGAGCTTGCCCTGTGTGCAGAATAAATTTCATGTTTGTGCTAACTGTAGGCTGTGAGCATAAGCTCAAAGATAGGTGTCAGTTCCTTCCTTTAATCTTGTGGAAACGCCAAGGATTTAGAGTTCATGGTTTTGGAATACGCTGGTGAAATTTTTGGTGAAAAACCTATTTCCCTGTTTTTTTTTTTAAATTGTTTTTCCTCTTTCCCAGTGGGTAAGATGCAGACAAGGTTTATAGGTTTACTCCACCAGCATTACATGCTGTCTAACAGACTCCAAATCTACACAGACAGAAAGTCAAGAAGAGAAAAGCAGCATTACATTTCACTGGGGAACGCGCTGCTCATATGAGGTTCCTGAGTTGTCTTAGACCAGATTGTAGACCCAAAGCTTGCTCTGCTTGAGCATATGTGGGCATAACTCACGTGCAATGTGCATAATTTACAGAGACCCAGTTAAGGCTCAGAAGCATCCAGGGAATAGAACTGAGGCCAGCCCCAGGTGAGGACAGGGCCTCCTCAACCCCTTATAACACTTGCTCCAAAGGCCTCCAGCTAGACAGAAGATCCAGTGATAGGTCATTCTGCTCTTTCTGGGATCTGACATGGAAATAGCCCATCAAATCCATGAAATCGCCACAGACTTCCTGAAGTCGAGAAACCTTTTCATAAGGCAAAGACCAGCGCCAAGCCTGGGAGACGTTGAGGGCATTCCTGGCATTGGTGTGGAAGGCATGCTGACCCACGCCCTTGCCCCGCGTGGTGTTGTGCACCCACTGCTGGAGATAGGGCAAGAATTCCAACCCCACATACTGATACATCCGGGAAGTCTGCGCAAGGGGCCTCCGGACCAGATCTTCATAGCGCACCAGTAGGAAGCGCTGCCGCAGGGCTTCAGGCAAGAACTGGATAGCCTTGAATATCTCCAGCTGACTTTGGCAGATAATCTGCATGGTGTGATACGGCCGGTCCCCCTCCTTGAGCGTCTCCCAGAGCGGCCCCAACACAATGCGACTGTCAGTCATGAGCTCGGCTGTGGTGTGTTCTCGTGAACGGAACACGGCCCGGGGGTCCCGGACCAACTGCACGACGTGCAAGTTGAGCAGGGGGTCCATGAGCAGCGGGTAGAGGGTCTGCAGGTTGAAGAAGCGCACCTCCTTGAGCACCACGTGGCTGTAGGAGCGGCAGGCTTCCTCCACCCCCTTGAAGGGCTGCTGATGGCACAGGAGCTTACAGTGCGCGTGGTAGGTGATATTGTTCCGAGGGAAGATGTTACAGGCAGGTGGGGAACAGAGCGCTCGGCTGTGTTCCCAGTGGAAGAGGATGGATTGCTTCCGAGGACCAGGATTCAGGTACGCATCGAAGACGCTCATGTCACAGAGAAAGACTGAGCGCAGCAGATCGCGCACCGCCATGTGCAGCTTCCAGGCGGTGCTCTGTGTGAAAGACATCCACACGTGCCAGGCGGGCTCCATCAAGTAGAAGACATCTGGGTGCTGTCCGAAAAGCTGCCCTACGAGGGAAGAGCCCGAGCGCCAGGAAGACAGGATCAGCACGTGCACGGGCCTGGGCTCCTCCTTCCTAGGCAGGGAGCTGTCATACAGGTGGAAGAGGAGCGCGAAGACGGCTATCTGGGAAGCCAAGAACAGGAGCAGCCTCAGTTTTTTGGGCAGTATCATTGTGCTGAAATGGAAGACCTTGAAAGAACAAGCAGAAGGGGCAGAGTTAGGCTGCTGTGTGGGTGTCTGCCTGCCATCTCCTTTAACCAAAGCCACCTTCCCCGACCCTCTCCAAAGCGCAATGTAGAAAGCTCAGAGCAATCCTGCAATCAGTTGCACAAATCCTTCTCCAGATCAAGTCTTGTCTCTTACAGTTTACATATTTTAGGGTCTTTAATTCCTCCCTTTTGATCTTTTTTGGCCACTGGACTATCCAGGATACCTAATCAACATAGGGGAAGGGCTTCTCCATGACACTCCGGTGGTATGCCTGTCTTCAAAGAGGTGATGAAGGCAAAGCTTGAGCTCAGTGTGACCCGAGTCTTGGTTAAATGCCGGGTGATCCTCCTGAAACCAAAGGAGATGAGCCACCCATCAAAGAACACCCCAAGGCCATTTCTCATTGCCCCCTCAATTTCCATGGGATCACTTCTAATTCCCCTCCCCATTTTATTTAACCATGGGACTCAAAGCCTTCAGTCTCCTGAAAGGCAGGGCTGCAGGCTATCAAACTACTTGGTCCTAGAGTTGTCTTTTCAATGGCTGAGCCACCTGCCCATGGCACCTGTCTTTTGTGGCTTGGTCTCATCCTGTGGTATAAAAGACATGGAGAGCCAATTCAACGCTGAGCTTGTGTCTGCACAGGTAATAAGTTTTGTGAATCCATTTTTTAAACTGAGTCATTACCTGCTTACCGGCTGACTGTGAAAGTGTGACAAGCCAGTGTGAGAGCTGTAACAGTGGGGTCCTGGCTTGACCACTTGACACAGCCTACTCAGGCCTGTTCAGTACGTGGGCAGGTTGTGTACCGCACCAGCCCCACAAAGTGCCATATCATCAAGAATTAAAAGATTTATTATTTTAAAAACAATCTCTGTAGATAAACTGAAGTATCTTGGGCCAATCAGAAAAAGTATATTAGGATGATTTTCCTATTATTAGATGTTAAGTAAAGAAAGAGTTTTCATTTTGTAATTTATGTGAAGACCCACAAAGCCTACTTAACTCCTTTTACAGCCAGCGGTGGATTCTTATGAGAAGACCACTGTTCCCAGTTCCGTACTAGAGGATTAGTTCTACGGAAATTTGAACTTTGTTTCTTACATGACACTGGATTATTTTGGGTGATTCCTGACATAAACACACTTGCTACTGCATAGTATGAATACTAATAGCAGTAAGGTGCTAATTTGCAATTCACTATATACCCAAGAAATTCTCCTTTCCAGTTTTAATAAAAAAGAGAAACAATGCTAGGAGCAGTGGTGCATGCTTGTAATCTCAGTGCTCTGGGAGCCTGAAGCAGGTAGATATCCCAAGTTTCAGCCCAGCCTAGGTAATTGAGCAATTTAGAGAGATCTTAGTGACATGCAGTCTAAAAATCAAATATGTATTTTTTGAGACAGGATCTCACTATGTAACTCTTAGCCAACCTCCTGCCTCAACCTCCCTAGTGCTGGGATTATAGGTGTGCACCACAACTATCTTCAAATATTTTTTAAAAGGGCCAGGTATGTAGCTGAATGAGAAGGCTCTAAGTTGAATCCACAGATAGAGAGGGAGAAGGAGAGGAGAGGGAGAAAGAGAAGGAGAGAGAGAAAACAGACAGACAGACAGAGACAAACAGAGAGACAGAGGAGAGAGAGACAGACAGACAGAGAGAGAAAGACTGATTCCCATATTATTTTTCTAGTGACAAATTACCAAGGTTTAAAAAATTTTTTTACTAGATAATTGTACATGGCTTAAATTGTTTTAGAAAGTGTCATTCTCATGGGTATCAAGCCTATATAGACTCAGAATTTAAAATGAGGCTTTCCTAAAATTCTGTGTACAGGAAGGAAAGAAGAGGCGTGCTTACATACCCAGATGTTTAACAGATATGACAGTGTTGGAGCAATCTTGCAACAAGTGGTTAGGTCTAAAGGATAAGCCTGTAGTCAACAGTTAGAAAACTTCTAGAACTATTTGTACACAGGAGCGATGACTCGTCTTTAGAAGGAGTCACAGTATTTTTCAGGGCAAAGAACACGTGAGAATTTTACTAGTTGCTGAACTGGTATAAACCTCTATTTACTAACAGTAGGCAGTACTTATCTACCAGCTGGTGTACTGTTATCAGTATACAGTGAGAAGCCTATCTCTAATATTTGTTTCCTCTTAGCCTATTTCTCAGTTTGCCCCTACCTAGCAACTGGGTTTATTTTTTACATGTCATTTTGTTTGCTTTATGTATATACAAGACAATTCAAATGCATATGTATTTTTAGTTTTGTTCCTCTTTAAAACATACATGCAAAAATAGTTATTTTACTCTGCTTCATCTTAATTTTTCCCTTATACTACATTTTGGGGGGTACTTTTTATGAAATATGCTTCTCAGCATTTCTCATTGGTGGGGTTTTATGTCGTTTTTAATCTTTTTTCATTTCACATGTTTCAGCAATGACCTCCATGTTCACCAACCACTGCATATATATGTAAGATAAATTCCTAGATGTGTAATTACTGAGTCAAAGAATGTGTGCATGTGTAAATTTGACACCTATCACTCAGACAGCCTTCATATTGGTCACAAAGAATTTTCTTTGGCTACAGCTCCAGAAATATTCAAGGGTGGATTTTACAGGAGGAATTGAGCAGTTGTGAGTCCTGGAGTTTATAGCTTGCTTCCTGAAAAGCTTCCACTTTTCTGGCTCATGGGCTTCCTGTGGAAGTCCCCTGACCTTCTGGGAAATTTGTAATGACCCAAGCCAGGCCTTGTGTGGCAGCCGTATGAAAATCAGTTTTCATCTATTCATTACAACAATGGTTTTCCTGTGGCTGTGCCAAAAGCATCTAGTGAAGACTATCTCTTCTTTGTGGCTAAAACACACTTTACTAGCTGTCAGGGAAGGACCAATAGATGGTAATTTCTATCTTGTAGTCTTGGTCTTGTGGAGTAGAAAACCAGCTAAAACATTCTTCTAGTTCTTAAAACTTGAGTCTAAAATAAAATGATTAAAAAGTAGGTCATTATTGATAACTGAAAATGATAATGGACCACCCCTTCCCAAAGATGGAAGATATGACCTAAGCGCAAGAGCTTCTGCTTGGGCAATGGGAGATTCAGAAAGAGTTTGGTACAAAGATAGAAAACAATGGAGGAAAAGGGAGAGGGAAATAGAAACCTGACCTGTGTATAATCATAAGGAGACTCACAGAATTTTATAAGCAGGGCTAATAATCATTATAGGAAAAAGCTAACATTTCCTGGGGATTAGGAAAGCAGGCCTTTCAAAAGATGCCCTCCCTCTCTCCATTTTAGCTTTGGGCCAACTCTGTTACCTGTGGGTCTCGATGGCACTGTGCCCTCCTTGCCTGCCAACTGCTTTTGGCCTCAAGCCCACTCTGTCCTCAAGCTGGAGCTGGGCCTCCTAACTCTGTCCCCAGGTGTTCTCACACTTTAGGTGACCACAGTTCTCATGAATTTCTATAGAGTTTTTTCTGTGGTTTTATTTCTCAGGAGCACTTATCCTGGCCAGAAAGAGCATGTTTATGTGAAGCAAGTTCCATCCAAGGCCCCTGGGCTATAGACAACACCTGGGAGGCTAGACCACCACAGAACGCTGCAGACTGTGATCGGCATTGGAAGCCGACACTCCTCAGGTCCTGGCAGCAGTGAGGGGCTGCACCCTCGCGCTGCTCTCTCCTCTTGCCAAAATTCCTAGTCTGCTCATCTCTAGTCAGCCGTGGAACCGTGCCCTCTCCGCCTCTCAGCATTCCTCATCATCCACTGCTGCCCAAAGATACTTTTTTAAAGCACAAGTCTACCATTCCTGTTTAAAAATCTTTCAGTAACTTTCCAGTATAAATAGGACTAAACCCAGTCTCCAAGCCTCATGCACAGGGTCCTTGATGGTCTGGTCTTTGGTTTCCCACAACTTCCTTTTTTTTTTTTTTTTTTGGTACTTTAGGATGCAGATTCAATTTTTCAGTTATCCTAAATGTGCCCTATTAGTTAGAAGCCCTGAGACATTTGTGAAAGTGCTACTGGTCCTTTAAGCATCTGCCCCCTTGCCACCTTCTCCCCTAAGATATCTCTTTCCCTTCCAAACATTTCATTGGCATCAGTCTCACTTTGTAGGAAACAGCTGTGTATGAGTGTCTCATCCAGTGAACTGCTGTAATTTAAAGGAAAGGCAATGTTTTATCTTGCCTTAAGTGCACAATTCTATAAGTGATTAGGGTTCCTTAAACCCTTGTCAAATAAATGAAGAAGTTAGTACTCAGATGAGTATGGGAAGAGACAGTCATTTTTAGAAAGAAGATAACCAAATGAGCTTATGTTAGTCATCTTTTCCTCACTGGGAGAAAATCGATTTAGAGGAGGAAAGATTTAGTTTGGCTCACAGTTTCAAGGGTTTCAGTCCATGGTTGGCTGACTATATTATGGCCTTTGGCAAAGCAGAAACATCATGGTGGAACAGTACAGTACAAAACAAGCTGATTGCCCCATAGCAGTGAGGATGCAGAGAAAAAGGGAAAGAACCAGAGTGTGAGATATCATATCCATAGGATCCACTTCCTTCCACTAGGGCCCACTACTCTCCCTGAAATTTCATTGAAAATAAGACTTATCTGGAAAATAACCAGCCTTAAAAACTGGATATCAAAAATGCCAGCCCCAGCCATACTCCAGGGGTGCGTCTCATCTAGCCACCTGGATCCCACTGGTTCTGAACTCCACCAAGCCAGATGTGACACCCTTACACCAAAGTTCAGAGGTGTGTCCCTGCTAGATGCACAGAGGACTTGATCTCCACCCAGCCCAGCATCCCAGTGCAATTCATCAGGGGAACGCCTGGCCAGCCTCACAGGTCACAGAAGTACTGAGCCCTGCCCAGCTCAGAGCCTCAGAGCTGTCCATCAGGGAGCAACTAGCCTAGCCAGTGAGTCCTGGAGATTTTGAGCTACACCCATCACAGCACAAGGCTCCAGTGCCACAGTTCAGGGGTGTATCCCAGCTAGCCTTGCAGGTCTGCAGGTTCTGAATCCAGCCTAGTCAGGAAGGTCCTGGCACCACACTCCAGAAGTGTATTTTAGTTAGCTGCATGGTCCAGAGGCTCTGAACTCCTCCCAGCCAAGTGCAATACCATGGTGCCACTGTCCGGGGTGCATCCCTGCTAGCTACACAGAGGATCTGAGCTCTGCCCAGCCTAGAATCCTAGTGCAATCCATCAGGGGAATGCCTTGCCAGCTTCACAGGTACAGAGGTACTGAACTTTGCCCAGCCCAGAGCCCCAGAACTGTCTATTAGAACTGTCTATAGCCAATGGGCCCAAAGATTTTGAGCTCTGCCCATCACAGTGCATGGCTCTGGCACCATAGTTCAGAGTGTGCCCCAGCTAGCTACATGGATATCAGAGGATCGAAGCTCTGCCCAGTGCAATCCATCGGGATGATGCCTGGCCAGTCACAGAGGTCTCAGAGGAAAATTACAAAATGAAAGAGAGCAAGATACAGTCTCAGTCCTCCAGCCCACTGAGAACACGCCCAGGAGACACTGAAGTGGAAGTCACTGGAAATCAGACAAATGAACTTTCTGAAATGATAGCAACTGAATTAAAGAAACAACTCCATGAAGCTATAGAGGAAATCAGATAAAAAATAACCTCCCAGGTAAAAAAAAAAAAAGAAATGACAAATATTATTAAAGAAATGCTGAGTGTATCTAACGAAGATCTAGATAAAAAAAAATGGAGGAACATAAGAAAATGATATAAACTTTGAATGAATTATATAAAACAGAATTAGAGTGCATGAAACAGATTTAAAGGGAAATTAAAAATTCTATTGAAAGCTGGCAAAACCTCTTAAATGAAGCTGAAGATAGACTCTCAGACCTTGAAGACAGGATAGAAGCTTATGATCATGAAAGAAAAGATCTCTTAAAAATAACAAGGAACCAGAAAACAACAACTCAACAGCTCAAGATGATGCAAAGAGAAACAATATAAGATTGATAGGTGTCAGTGAAAAAGCTGGGGGGACAGCCAACACAGATGGCATCAGACTACAGAAATAATAGCGGAAACATTTTCAAACATGGGAGAAGAATCTGATATATGGATAAGTGAGGAATATAGAGCCACAATTAGTCATAACCAAAATAAATCTTCACCCAGACACATAATAATTAGGATCTCAGAAACTCAGCACAAGAACAGAATAATGAAAGCTGTCAGAGAAAAGAAACAGATTATATACAAAAGGAAAACCTATCAGAATCATGGCAACACAAACCATCTCAACACAAACCTTCAAGTCAAGAAGGGCTTGAGTGAAGTATTTCAAGTCCTGAAAGAAAAAAACTTCCAAGCCACATTGATGTACCCTGCAAAACTATCTTTGAAAATTGATGGAAAACTAAGATATTTCCATAATAAAGAACAATTGAAGAAATTTATGACCACCTAACCAACACTTCAAAGAGTACTGAAAGATACTCTAGAAAGACATAAAGATAACTACAATCTGAAGAACACCAGCAAAAGGAAACCACTAAGCAGGGCAAACAAACAGAAAAAGTAGAAAACCAACAACAGAAAGATAACATGATAGGAATAAGTCAGTACATTTCAGTTATATCCATCAATGTAAATGATCTCAACTCACCAATAAAAAGAAACAGACTGGCAGAGTGGATTAAGAAACAGAATCCAACAATATGCTGTGTATAAGAAACACATTTAATCAAAAGAAAATTCATAGACTAAAAGTCAGAGGATGGAAAACAATACTCCATGTGACAGGGGTAGCTATTCTGTTTGCAAACAATGTGAACCTCAAACCAAGAATGATCAAAAAAGATAAAGAAAGTCACTACATACTTATTAGGGGAAAACTTGAAGAGGAAGAGATTATAATCATAAATATATATGCACCAAATATGGGACCACCCAACTATATAAGACAAATCTTAATAGACCTGAAAAATCAAGTAAGCAATAATTCATTTATAATGGGGGAGCTTAACATCCCATTGGCACAAAGAGACAGGAAAATGCCAGCCCTAATCAGCCTACCCTTGCCTTATCTGCATTACAGAGCAGCTGCCAGACTAGAGAGCTGTGATGGCAGAAAAGGCAAGGATTGGCTGACTGGGACTAGCACTTTGGATCTCTAGTTTTCAAGGCTGATTATTTTCCAGATAGCTCTTATTTTTAAGGAAGCACGGTGGTTTCCATCACCTCCCAATAATATCATCAAACGATCATCTCATTAGTGAATTGATTAATCCATAATGAAATTAGAGTTCTCCTGGTGATCATCTTTCAAAAGCCTCACCTCTGAGCACATGAACATTTTGGGGGACACTTTTGATCTAAACCATAACAGCATTCCTTGAAGAAACTGAAACTTATCCCTTTCTAAAATGCACACAGAAAATCTTTAGTATTAGTTATTAAAATGTGACTCTGTTGAGCACCGAACACATAGCCAATACTTTCTCTGTTGCAAAGAGCAAGGAATTAAACTCAGGGGCATAGCTTTGGTGATGCATAATACAGTTAACTTCTTTCTAAAAAATAACTACTCCACTGAACACAGTAATTTAAACTAAGAGGAAAAAAACACAAAAATTATTTTAAGATAAAAAAATTAGTGAAAAATAAAAATCCATTGTGTTGACAGGCTTCCCTTTTATAACCATCTTCGCTGCTAGATGGGCAAAGCAAAAAGCAAAAAAACAGTTTGTGATTTGAACAAAGGTGATTTGAACATTTCTTGCCCCAGTGATAGGTGATTGGCATCACCTTGAATCCCAAAGGACTGCCATTGCCAAAGTATGATGAGAGCCTTTAGGGTCTTGAAAAATACCACCAAAGGAGTGGTGATAAGGGAGAGCCGACGTAAGGCACAGAGATGGTGAAGGCACCAGCAGGCCTTCATCCAGCAGCCTCATTCCAGAGGGCTGAATGTATAGGTATCCCCAAGATCAATGCCTGTGGGTGCTGCCAAACAAAATGGGAATTCTGAAAAAAACTCAAACAGGCAACAATTTAAGAAGCCCTGATTCCAGTGACTAGGCATATTTCCCGGCGAGATTATGCTCCTGCAGCAGGAGGCCTAGACCTGATCCTTACCAGTGTAGTCTCTACTGCCCAGCACAGTACCTAGCACATGAAAGGCATCTGAGCAACATCTATCAGTGAAGGAGCGTGAGGACGAACATTTATAGACCTTGTTTTTTTTCTTGTTTGAGGTACTTTCATTGGCCCAGGAAGAAAGATTAGCAAGGTATTATTTTTATTTTACATATCTAAAAATATTCCAATTAGAAGTTCCAGACTTGTCCACAGTCATTTAATACAGCTCTCTTCTACCTTTGCTGACATACTGGCCCCACGAATCGTACTTCATATCCATAAATCTCCATAATTATAATTCTCAAAGTCCTTTGGGGAGCAGTCATGAAAAAATCCACTAAAACACATAGGACAGTGATGAGCTACTTTCCTATTTTTTTCAAAATAAATCAGCTGAACTTTGATGGATTCATTGGCCGTAATAGCTTTGCCTGGTCAGAAACCTGGTGTTCGGGGTCCCAGATCAGAGTTTTCTGTGATCATGCTGCAACCCACCTGAGCCAGAGAAAACCTGCAATTGTCTGCATCTCCCGCCTCCTCTCCCCCCCCCAAAAAAGCAAGGAGAAGCTGTGGGAAGTACAGAAACTTGAGCTCCAGAGTTCTGTTCAAAGTGGATCAGATGTACCAGGAAACCATGTACAAAATGTACATCAAAACAGTTCCTACCCCCATTGTAGGCTTTTTTGAGCTCTTTAGGGATGGAGCCACTGGAGGCAGGGGGAGCTGGTGGTAGGCAGCTTGCGTTTTCCCTGCAGATTCTTCTGGTGATTCAGATTCATCCCCCTTCCCACTACCCGCCCTCCCTGCCAGCCACGGAAACCCTAGCTTAGCTACCAGTTACCTGATATTCTGGTCCAGCAGCCCTGGGACAAGTAGGTTCTCAGCGGGATGTGGACCCAGAGAAATCTCCTTACCTGTTTAAGTGTCCCCCTTCTCCTGAGAGGCTCACTGCTACAAGGCTGAGCACTGTTCTCTGACTCACCAACTCCCCCTCAGCTTCCTCCTCCTCCTTCTCTTCCTCCTCCTGCCTCACCTCCTTCTCGTCCTCCTCCTCCTCCTCGCCTTTTACATATCTGTCTGTTTCACTGCCTGTCCTTTCTGTTGAGAAAAAGACCCACCTTGCAAGACAGGCTAAAGACAACACTGGCTGCCAGGAAGCTGTAACATTAGCAGCTTTAACACTGGAGTGCGGTGAGCCAGGAAAAGCAAAAGAGGAAACATTCTCTCCCCTACCTGGCTGGGATGATCGTGGAATGTTGATTCCTCTTAGGCAGCAAGAAGGCTGACTCCCTATGACCGACCGGTGCAAGAAGAGCTGTCTGGAGAGCAAGCAGATGAGGTCCACAGGGAGCTCACCCAGCAGTTACGACCAGTGCGCCCACAAGATCCTCAGCCTCACTCTCCCCTCTTATTCTTATCTCTGAGGAGCAATGTAGAGGTTGTTTCTGCACGGCACCTGCTCACTCACTCACTCCGCCCTAGGGAGGTAACATTTCTCAGTCTGTGTGTCATATCTACATCCTCAACCTTCTGGTAAGAGGTAATAAATGTGTTCTGGGGGAACACGTGGACTGGTGTTTGGGCAGAGTACAGGAGAAAGCTTTCCCCTTAAGGAAAAAAAGAAATGTTATCCTTCAAGATGGTAACTTCTAAAAAAAAAAAAGATGGTAACTTCTTACTAGTAGTGTGACCTAGGGGAAATAAAATGCCCACTCTGAGCTACTCCACCTGGTTGTCACGGCACTAAACCAATGGATGCACATGAATAACTGTAGATTTTGATGGCATGTAGAAGCCAGAGACTTTAATGTCACAGACCTGGGTGAGGCATTCTACTTCACTGAGCCCTAGATTATTGCTATAAAGCAAGGATGGAAAAAATTCTTTGTTTTTCAGTTCTGGGGATTGACAACTCAGAGCTTTTTCACTAATTTACATCCTCAGATCTTTTTTAAAAAAATGTGTAAAGTTTGAGACAGTCTTTTTTATTTTACAGAAAAAGGTAAAATAAAATTTCATAACAAAATAATAGAATAACAACAGTTAATACATTACATGTTGCTATCTTTAAAGTAGTTGCTTAGGGTACAGGATATGGGCATAAAAGTTTTTCCAGTCCATAGCAGCACAAACCTGCCCTTCTTTTGGTGGGGTAGGGAACAGGGATCAAACTCATGACCCCATGCTTGCTGGGAGCAGGCACTGCGCCACTGAGCTGTATCCCCGGCCCAACCTGCCTTTCTAATGAACTAAGAGACACTACTACTGTAACTGATTTGTGTTCTTTTCCCTTTTCCTGTCGGCCCTTTCCGCTTTTACCCATCCTAATTCCTTTTTCCTTTTGAACAGTCTCTTCCCATTTCACAATATCTGTTGTACGTTTTAGAACTTATTTACTCTTTCAATTTCTCATGCCAGGGACACAATGTGACATATGTGAGTCTGATTTATTTCACCTATGAGTATGGGTGAGACAGGCTCTTGCTAAATTGCTAGGCTGGGCTTGAACTTTTGATTCCCTGCCTCAGCCTCCCAGAATGCTGGAATTACACACATTCATTCTTCTGACAAATATCTTCCTTCACGTATTGTTGTGAACTTCAGGATTTATGCACACAAAGCCCCTAACACAATACTAGGACAAAAAGAATTTAAAAGAGTCAGGTACTTTTAAATAATAATACCTCCTTTTCTTGCTCAGCTGCTGGTGCCTTTTTCAGGACTGAGAAGAGAGAGCAGGCAGGCACTGGGTGATTTCTGGGATCTTCTCGGGAAGCATTTGGCTGATTGCCCCAGGGCCTTATCATTGCATAAATGACAAGAACCTTTGGAGGTTGCCTGCTATTGATTTCAGTTGTGTGTTCCTTCCTTCCTGGTGCTTCCTGGCAGAGAGAAATTTCCTTTTTGCACAGAGATGTAAACTGATGGTCCAGAAACGGGCAGTTCTGTTTTTATTATTTTAAAAGTCATATTTATTAAATATAAAAAATTTGAAAGATAAAGTATGTACAAGGAAAGAAGTATAAATCCCTGTCCACGTTACTGCCCAGAGAAAATCACTGTTCATTTTCCCCATGCATGTACAACTCTGTATAACTGAAGTCACACTGAAAACAGTTTTGTACTTGTTTTCCATTTGGATTTGCTTCAAGATAGTTTAAGTTATGAGATACAATTGAGGCAGAAAGGTACAAGTTACCTGGATGTGGAGGCGCACACCCCTAATCCCCACACTCTGGGAGGCTAAGACAGTAGGATTGCAAGTCCGGACTCAGCCTGTGCGAGCAAGACTCTTTACAACACAAAAAGGAGAATACAATTTGGCTAAAGGAATGACTGCTTAAATAAAAACACAAACAAAAACTCACAACTAAACATAGCTGAAGCACCTCTCATGTCCCTTCACGCACAAACTTCCCCCTCGCAGTACGCAGGTGACTGCCTTCGTGCTAAGCAAGTACTTGCTTTTGCTTCTAGTTATCACCTAAGACATAGAATTGAATTTTCATCATTTTGGCCTTTTGTGCCATACGTATTCTTCTGAGATTTCATTTTACAATACGCCTTTAAGATCCATCAGGTGGCTTTATATTGTTATGCTATTTTGGTTGTTTTTATTATTAGATGGTGTTTTGCGTGAGACTGCCCTGCTGCTGTGATATATCCGCTTAATCCGTTTTAGAACTGTTTATAACTCTGACTCACCTCTATTTTTGCTTCTTTTCTTCCTTGATTTCTTTTTTCCTCTCTGCACTACTGGGAGCTGAACCCAGGGAAGTGCTCTGCCACTAAACTACATTCCCAGTCCTTTTAAAATTATTTTGAGAGAGAGCTCGAGGGTGTCACTAAGTTGCACAGGCAGCCTCAACCTTTCAGCCTTCCTTTCTCAGCCTCCCAAGTAAGGGGTTGCAGGTGTGTACCACCGTGCCCAGCACATTCTTGACTATATGATGGTTCATGTCCACTTCACTGTCTCTTGGGGATGCTGGGACGTAGGGCATGATTGCTTTGGACTTTTTCACTTCTGGATATATCATAAGCATTTATCCAGATCAGCTGATACCTTTGGCAGATTTTTTTCTTTTTTCTTTTTTCTTTTCAGTACTGGAGGTTGAACTCGGGGCCTTGTACATGTTAGGCAAACACTCTACCACTGAGCTACATTCCTAGCCCTGGCAGCTGTTGTTTGGAAAGATTTCTAATACTGAATATTAGAAATATTTCTAAAAATTCGATGTTTAATATTGTTTCCAGTGTTTCCCTATTACATGCAATGAAAATGAATGTATACACTTCATGAATAAAAGATTGAATTCTTGCATAAACTGGCTATCCATCTTCCTCCTCGCACGTCATACCACAGATCTTATCTTCTGTAGTTTATGATTTATAAAGCAGTTACGTAGGAAGTACCTTTGGAAAAGCTGACCTCAAAGAGGCGAATAAGAAATAGCTATTTGACTCCTTCTAAGTAAGCAGCCTGAAGTAATCTTTGAAAATGGTTTGCTACTATCATAACCCAGAAAACCCCACAAAATCATGCAAATCAAGAGGCTCAAATCTTTGTGTTCACTTTAAGAACACCTGTAAAACTGCCCAGACCATCAATAGTGTGCATATCCAAAAGGCCACCAAGCATCTGAAGGATGTCACTTTAAAGAAGTGATGTGTGCCATTCTGGTGTTACAGTGGTGGAGTTGCTGGGTGAGCCCAGACCAAGCACTGGGGCTGGATAGAAGGTCAGTGGCCAAAAAAAGTGCTGAATTTTTGCTGTACATGCTTAAAAATTCAGAGAGTAATGCTGAACTTAAGGGTTTCAACATAGATTCTCTGGGCATTAAGCATAATATCCAGGTGAACAGAGCACCCCAGATGCGCCACTGTACTTACAGAGCTCAGGTCCAGAGTCACCTATGAGTGACCTCTCCCTGCCCCAGTGAGAGGATCCTTACTGGAAAGGAATACATTACTCCTAAACCAGAGGAGGAAGTTGCACAGGAGAAAAAGCCCGGAAGAAACTGAAGAAACAAACACTTATGGCATAGGACTAGATTAAACATAAAACAAATGCAAATAAAAGTAAAAAAAAAAAAAAAAAACAAGGACTAGGTATTTTGTTGGGCAAAGTGGCATATACGTGTGGTCTCAGCTACTTGGGCGGTTGAGGCAAGAGGATTACTTCAGCCTAGGGGTTCATAGAAAAAATATTTAACTAGATATTCTTACTTATGTACAGAGGCTAAAAAAGTTTATTTCAAAAGACCACAAAGTAGAATTGTGGTTGCCAGAAAAGTATAAGAGGAGAGGCAGAGAGGAATGGCTACTGGGTGCAGAGGTGTAGTTGGAGAAGAGAAGTGTGCTCTAGTGTCCCATAGCATTAGAATAAAAGATATCTTCGCAGACAATTAATTGAATGCTAGGAGATAGTTACTACAGAAGATTTTTATGAAATTATGTGTTTGAGTTGACAGATGTTATTTGCTCTGACCGTCATACACTGCATCCATGCATTGAAATATCCCATTGTGTCCCATAAATATGCACTATTATGTGTCAAAAAATGCAATATATTTTTAAAAGAAATAAATATTCACATTATTTGAAGTGTAAGTGAGGGTATTACTTAAGGTATTAGTGAAGGAATTCACAGCAAAGGCCATTCCCAGCAAGAGATTATGGAGCACAAAGACTATAAAAGAAGGTAATTATAGCTACTGTTTCCTCAAGGTTTGGTAGAAGCCAGTACTATATATCAGTCATCTAAGGTGTCTTGTATTTACTGTTTGCAGCAGGAAGAAAATTCTATATTTTCTGGGTAACAGAATAGGGCTTGGAGAAGATAATAATGTGTCCACTTTTGCATGGCTTATAAGTGGCAACATCTGGTCTCAATCCTAGGTCTGAGTTCAAAGCCCAGGCTCATTTGTCAAGCAATGCTACTTCCCTGTCATGGGCCAGAGGTATTGTGTCTATTCTTTTCTCTCTGGTCCCAAGAATAGCCAAAATGCGGTGCAGAATTCTTTTCATTGTTATGTGACTATAACTTTAATATTAAGAGTAAGGTACCGCCCACATTACCAGTACCATCTTTTTGTTCTGACTTTTTGAGATAGTACCTCACTTGAACTCACTTTGTAGTGTACTGGCCTTGAACTTGTGGCAATCCTACTGTCTCAGCTTCCTGAGTACTAGTATTACAACTGTGTGTCACCATGCCTGGCTTCCAGTATCATTTTACAATTCCTAGCTCTTGCTGACCTCAGGGGGAGGGGTCCATTGACCTCGTGGGAAGAGGAAAAAAAGAGGAAAGACATCTTTTTCCGTCAGCTAAATCCTTATAGTTTAAATGTACCCCACTCCTCTTTCCCTGCAGTGTTGGGGATTGAACTCAGGACTTCACACATACTAGGCAAGCACTCTCAGTGAGCTACACCCCAGCCCAGTGTTGTTTTTTCTAATGTACTCCTCATGCTTCCTCAAAGCTTTCCTAAATATAAGGTCGTGCAA